ACAGGAAAGATGGGAAGGGGAATTAAAGGTGATTATAAAAAGTGAGTTTACGTAACAATGAAAGAATGTACAAATACTAACAGAAATCTATAGAACTAGGAAATGCGTGAATGTTTGACTATATAAAGTCAATGTGGAACTAACTTGCAGGAAATAGCCGTCAATTTCAGCAGTTTCGGGGAAAAACCGCACCCCATTTTGATGAGACGACCTGGTTGGACGGGTAGTCAAGTAACTTCCCTTTCTTTTAGCAGGGCCTTTATCTCTTCTCATGTTTATTCAGTTGTTCATTCACCAGACAGGTCAATTTCTCATTACTCAGCATTTAAAACCACATTTTAAAAAATGTGACTGTTTAGGTGAGTTTAAGTAAAAATGTGTGGAATGTTAAAAATGGTGATTTTGAACGCAAAGTAAGAAGTCAGTGTGTTTCCATGTTTGCGATTTGTAGGGTAGGGAAATTAGAAACCTGGGATATGTACGATCCGATCGTGAGGTATACTCGTTTGACATCACTTTACTTCTTAGTCCTATATGTAGAATACTAGTAACAAGATACAACTGACGTTTGTCTCAAGGACCGTTGGAGAGTTCCATATAATCGCTGCGATCGCTCAACTTTTTCCTTGGCAATCCTGGCAATCATATGAAAACCGTTACGAAAACAGTACGTTATAATCAAACTGCAAAACTTGTGAAAGCGAGATACTTTCGAGAATGTTAATCGTGACAGCCCGATAGCACGGTTTCAAAATCATGATGACGTCATCTGTCTGCAGGTTCGCTTGAGACCGGCGGCGATCCTGCAGTTCAAGCATTAATATTAATAAGCGTATTAGACGATGATTTTTTGTCCTTGTTCAAAGCCGGTGATTTTCCCTTTTGACAGTTAAAATTAGAAAAGCAAAAATACTACTCATACCTTAAAACCTGATGACTCACCGTAGAAATTTAGTACAAGTATTCAACTACTCGAGATCAGTCGAGGCCGCCCAAAGTTGCAAGACGAAATTAACTATATAGGCTAAAGCGGGTAAGTTATCAGTAAAGCATACTTATTCCTTTTATTTACGTGGGTTGAATTATTAAATATTATTCTCTGTTTTTTTCCTGCATGATTCGTTCATTATTCATTTTAGACCTACTGACCTTTACTTACCTTTCTCTTTGTTGGGTTTGAACTAATTTTTTTAAAATTAGTATTCGTTCTTTACGTAATTGTCAAACAGAATGTTCATCAGTGTCTTACAACAATAATACGGTGATTTAGGTGTTTTATTCGTTTTGACATTTAGCCATCACAGTTAGCCTGGACCGCCATAAGTTTCCATGCAGCATGCCTTCAGTATTGTACTTTGACATATTTAGCCAGTCAAGAAATAATAACCGTTGTCTTAGTTTGGTAGGTTAATTCGGCCTTACATTCAAGCTTAAAGCATGAAAATAAAGAAATCAGTTTTAAAAAAAAGTAATTTTTGTGACGGGTCATCAGAATGCTATAGTGCAGAAAACGCAAATACTAGCAGATTCAGTCCTACGCTCGCTTAAAACCTTGTTATTTCTGTGGTGGCGACAATTATATAGTTTCACTTGTTACGATTCTATTGACCTCTCGTATGAGTCTATACCCGCTCACTTAAAAGAAATACCCGGCAATTTTCGATCGGATTTTCGGCGGTGTAACTGCTTGTCTCGTAGATAACAAGCGCCCATTTCAGGCCATCCGTCGACGGAGTCCTTCTAAAGTTATTCGCATTTCAAGGTCTCTGTACCTGAAAAATATCCCCGTTTGAAACCCATGAAAGTATCAGTGTCTTATGCCTTGATACTCTGCTTCTTGCCACTTCGGCATTTCTTTGGGAAACATTCAGACCCTTTAACAGGTAGTAACAAAATCAGTGACTCAGATCGCAAACCAACCCCAAACCGAAACAAGCACAACAGCGATCAAGGGTACAAGAGGTAAACACAAACGTTTTATTCATATAATCGTCCCATTTTGTTAATCACTCATATGATTACAGACCGAATTGGACTCCACTAAGTCCTGTTACCATGACTAATCATAACTATAACAAAATTCTAAAATCTGTTTGGCTATCAAATGTCCTGATTTCAGCACTAATAGGACATTGTAAAAGGAGCGTGCCGGAGTACGCGTCATGCCCAAGTCGGGAGTTTACGCAACGACGACGGCGATGGCTGCGAAAACATCACTTAAAAAGTGAATTTGCTCTGCCTCAAACTTTATTAAGCTTATTCCATCTCGTTTAATTCGTCAAATATCGGCAATTTTTTTTGGAGTTGAATTCTAAGGGACTCCATTAAAAGAAAAAGAAAGTAAAAGAAGTCGTAGTTGTAGTCGTGCAACGATGGCAGATAGATGTACAAAAAAGGGCGTGATGCACGTGCAAAGTTGTTGTTTTGCTTGTCTAAACCTATTGCTTTATTGCCGTTCTCGTTGCCGTCGTCGTCGTCGTCGTCGTTGCGTAAACTCCCTAGTAATTCGGACGGTACGCCGCATGGCACACGTGCGTGCACTAAAATGGCTTTTTTTCGCTGCCAGCAAAAAACCCTCGGAATTTCTAGACTGCTTGCGTCCGCCTTTTCTCTTAAAATCCGTCTAGTTCTTATCTCATCCAGCGCGATTGCAAACCACGACGTTATTATTACAATTGAGACTAGACGAGAAAAAACTTCTTCGCGGGCTTACGCCCTCGTTTCTCACGGCTCGTGGCTTCGCCGCCCGCGTGCTTAGGTTTCGCGTGCTGTAACTTTGCAAAGAAAAATAAGAGACTGCTCGCAGTGTACGGAATTTCTTGTGTTTTAATGAAGAATATATATATATATCACAAATTTTGTTACAGTTATGATTAATTGTTAAAAGAACTTTGTGTCGTCCAATTCGGGCTGTAATCATAACAGACCGAACTGGACTCGATCATATCCATGACTCCACCCAGTCGTACTCACGCGTGCAGGATATAAACTCGGCTATGCCAGTACATGTCGCGTAAAGGTAGCCTCTGCTCGCAGAGTATAAGTAGATTATGTTCTGATGAATCTTATTGAACATTGCTTTACGCTAGAATGTTGTTTTTCCTGCCCAGGCTGAATATTCTTATTTTTCTGCCGATTAGATCCGATTAGGCTGAAAACATTCCTGTATTAGTCTTCGATGAAAGCTTAGTACATAGTATCAGTCCATAAGTACTACATGTATCGCTCTTGCCGGAACTTTTTTTAGCATTGAACATTTGGCTTTAGCAAGAGATAAAAACACATAATTGCATTTTTATATCCCTTTCAAAATCTCAGCCTCGGGTGTATTCCTTAAATAATCTAAAAATTTCGCATATTTTAGCCTCGATATTCTTATAAAATAAATTTTTAAAGAAAAAAAGAGTGTTTGTCTGAAAACACTAAAAAATTCGAGCTTTGGTCGGTAATTATTTCAAGAAATTTTCTTTGGGGGACATCGTAGGACAGTCCGTTGATAGAAATGATACCATAACTGAAATGTACTGACTGCAAAAGCAAAAGCGACAATTGTCCCTTGTTTAAGATTGGAACTGTTGATCAAATCAATGCTGCAAAGTCACTTCTACTATCAGTGTACTATCTCTACAGAATATTTATTTCGCTCGTTGTAATTTCACTGAATCTCTCATGGTGACTTAAATTGTAGTTTGAATACCTTCTTTTAGTAAATTCGGCGAAAATAATTTCAATCAAATCCACAATTAGAGGAGGTAAAGTGATATTGAGCACCCTATCTAACACTATGTCTACTCTACTCTGGATAGCTTTTCATCTGGCCAACCGTTCACACTACGCCAAACTGGGATCGCGAGTGCCGGGCATCACTCTGGCCGGGCACAGAAACCTATCCGATATGTGGCATTCACTTTCTACATCGGCACGGCTCAGCTTCTCTCAGTTACAATGACAAAAACCTCGCTGAAATCACCGTTAAGGTATCCTGGTAACAGATAAAAAACAAAACGCATAAGCAAGTAAGTTCAAAGAAAGCCGACAAAGGCCAACTTCATATTCTTAACTATTTGCGGCTGGTCGCAGCCGCCATTCATATTGGAGGAATACAATACCAGAGAAACATCCCAGCAGAGGATTTCTTCAAAAGAAATGTGGCTATTTTATTCAAAAATTTATTCAATAGATTTAAACAGTTAACTAACAGTTCTCTGGGGACTCCGCTAAAACAAGGAAGTTCCCTTTAAAACAGGAAGTCGTAAAACGAAATGTATTCCAACGGCGAGACAAAAAGCGGCTAGCGGCATTCGAGACAATACCATGGAGTAATCCTGGTATAGGGTAATCATCGTATCGTATAAAAAGCAGAGTAGCACTTAGCAAGACTATTTTTTGCTGTCTTGTTTCCCGTTGGTGAGTCATCCGGCAGATGCCATGGAGCTCGGGCCTGCTGTATTAAATTTCTCGAATTCTTTTGAAATGATAAAACAGCCACTCTTAAAGCTATTAAGATTTTTTTATTATTCTATTAACAATAAAAGCTATTAGGCTTTAAGTGTTCTGATTGCGCAAAATGTTATCACATGCAAATCCTTTGATTGATGGTAATTCAAATCTAGCAAATTCTAAACAGGTCAGAAACGAATCCCAAATATCTAATATTGCAAAAAAAAGGTATCGAGATCGACAATAAGAGCTGTGCTTTTTATAAACGGAAGAATCCTGCAACGAACTTTGCGCGCTAAAAAAATATAATGGTTCAACCGAATATCGCTCAAGTTCACGACATCAACAAGCCTACATAAATTCCGTTACGCAAAAATGTTGCGTAATTTGAAAATATTTTTCTCTTCCATTCATAGGCCTCAGCGCGAACAGCATGTTCTTGACATTAGCTGCTGACACTGTACATGTCCCTCAGTTCCGGCGTAATTACCGGTGTTAAATTCCTAATCGTGTCAAACTTGCCGACATAAAAACGGGAATTACATTCACAAAGCAGACAAAGTGAATAATTCTATGAATTTTTTGGTTACCTTTTTTACCAGAAGGTAAAAATTAGTGTCATCCTCGAAGAAAAAGGTAGGAGCAAATCCATGTACTGGCAAGTCATCATGGAAAATGAAGAAGTTATTTTGTTTGCGGCAGTGCTTGTCGCCTCGCTGTGGCTGTTCATCAAACGAGTTTATGTGGAGCGACTCCCGTCATACTTTCACTGCAAGTACGTCTTTTTGACTGGCTGTGATTCTGGATTCGGTAGAGAAACAGCACTGCGTCTTGATAGTTTAGGATTCAATGTGTTTGCGACATGTTTAACGAGAGAAGGCCAAGCAGATTTGACTGCCATGTGCAGCAAAAGACTTAAGGTTATTCATTTGGATGTCACAGATTCACAAGAAATCAGAAACGCTTACAAGTTCGTGGAGCAATCTTTGCCAGAAAATACAGGTATGTTGCTATGAAAAAGGATACAGCGTCTTAATAAATAAGTGTCTAATAAAGATCAAGGGCTAGGTTTAGTCTTTGAAAGTGTCGAATTGAAAAAATCTTCAGATCAGTTATTTGTGCCACTTGTTATAAATATAATGTAAACATGGCTTATATAAACTCTAAACAGTATAAAAACCAATATTTACCAAGTTCATTGAAAAGGAATCCATTATTCGTGCCCATTATTCGTACACTGTATTTGTTTATTACAAAAACAAATGCCCATGAAATTGATTTCAAAGGATCGCGAGACCCTCTCTGCATGTGGTAGGTTATTTGTCGTAGAGTTAATGTAGAGGTAATCTTGCCATTTCCTATCATGTGGTACACAGTTTTGTCATTTAAAAATAGCTAAAATATTACTATATTATTCTAAGATAAACACGGGGAAAAAAGAATTATTTTTTGCAGGGTTCTCTTTAGAATATTAGAGGACTTTGACACAAGAAATTCTGCTTCTTGACTGAAGCACACTTCAAGCACAGACTGTCTCTCGTTGCTATGCGCGCGCGAGCTTTAATCTGCTCAACTTTCTTGCGTGACTATCCGTCTACTAAAAGGGTGGAGTACTTTTGTGTCATTTTTTGTTGCAACAAAGAATACTCTTCACCTCCGTGCAAATTTCTTACATATTCCATAAAACACCCACATATTTTCACAAAAATTCGTTTAAGACCATTTTTCACATTTAGCTGACCAGAAATGATCGTATTAAAGTTTCTCGGAACAATAAGCCCTTTTATCGCCTTGCTATTTCCGGCCGTTACGAATGACGACGATGACCGTCTCAGATGGAACAAAAAATATAAATATAGAAATCGATGAATTAATTTAATACCGTCTAATATTAGCTCAAGAGAGCTGTCAGCAAGATGAGAACATCTCTCCAGCAGTTCGACTGAAACTTCTTGGACTGAAGCCCCTGCAGACTGAGGACCTGAAGGAGTGTGACCCTTGTGTAACGAGAGAACTTTACAACAACAACAACAAGGTTATCATTTTCACCCTTGTCGTCTCTTGACTCACTCTACTTGCTTAGCAAGATTCACTGAGTGAGACTGATCAGCAAAAAGTCTGCAATCCGCTATTTAAAAAAGAGAGAATCATTCTTTTTTTTTGACGTTCTATTACAAAACTGTGGATTGAAGACTCTTTGTTGATCAGTCTCAGCAAAAGTAGTATACTTTGTATACTTCTCTGTTCCTGTTTAGAAACTGAAGTCAAGGCACGTGCGTTAACGGGAGTTTTCACGTCACTTCCGATCGATCCGAGCACCCTTAAGACCACCAACGGCAACTATCGCTCAAGGGGGAGGTGAATAGCGGTGGAAGAGGCGCCCAGGTTTACATAGAATCCGGGCGGCATACGCCATAGTTGTTTTATTATTTATCAATTTAGTTGAACAAAAATGAAAAAGTATTTTTTGGAAATAACGTCAGACGTCACTCAGTTATCAAGTATTTTGGGGATGTTTTATCTTTCTTGGCTAGTGCATTTTTATGATTTTGTCGCGAATTCAGGAAGAATAACTTGCTAAACTGCCAGAAATTACTGCCACTTTCTTGGTTTTGTTAGTACAGCTGCTTCATTTATCGGTAATTAACTAAGATTTTAATAGTCCTCTAAAACTGTCGCGAAACGAGACGCCATTTTGATTTTTGTCCCGAGTTACGGGAGCCAATCAAACACTTATGATTAATATATTGGCTGCTTAAGTTTAATTTTTGTGTTTGGCTTTTGAATACACGAAGAAGCCTCTGCTGTGCTGTAACGACGGCAAAGTCATAAATCTTTAAATCAGATTTCGGTTTTGTTTTTAAAAAGTTACCGCAAGAATTGTCCCTCATGAGGACCCTGAAGTTAGTGGAACATAAGGGCGTCAGTGACCAAGTCAACTACTATTAACTTCAGTGAGACCAGAAATCTTACTAGACAATGAGCAGCCCCTCACGTTTGAACTGCGTGGTTAGCTGCATGCAGTGCAAACAGTGCACGAGCGCGCGTAAAAAATGTCATACGGGAGGAAGGTAATATATAGGTGCGTTCGTGTATTTCGCTTGTCCTAGTGTAAGGAGAGGTTTCCCATGCATTCTTTATTTGCCTCGAGTTTTATATCTAGTTTTCAAATATTATGAGAAATTTTATGGTGTTTACAATGAGCCGCATTCAGCCGTCGGGGCTCGTGCTATTTTTGAAATGCTTTGTTTTATGCTTTGTTTAATAATCCTACAAAAGCCAACAGCGGCCTATTCATAGTACAAGCAGAACAAACTTAATAGTTTTCCGTTTCGTTCCTAAGATTATATAATTGTATTAGTTCAACTTCAGTAACGATTTCTAAAAATACTATTGGTTTTCTCAATAATAGTTGCTCTGCTTTGATTTTTTTTTCTTAATTAACTTTATTCTACAACAAAGCGGCCTTTCACTGTAACACCTTCTTAAGCGAATATAGCTAGTTTTTAATTAGTATTTTTGAGCGGTCTCGTAGTTTCTCTGCAATTTACTTCCGTAAATAGTCGCTTCGTCTAAATTTAGAATTTCAAAAGTTTTGCTGACCTGCAAATTCGGAAAATGTCTGCTTTTGTTGTAGGTGAAAAACTACAATGAGGCAGGTGGTTAAAAGCCGCCTTGCTGACTTAGCAAACTTTGCTAGTTTATTATCCTAGTACTTTTTACTCCTAAAATAGAATCCGCAACAACAATCAGTTTCCCTTGACTTCAAACGACTTTGTTTGTATATCTATTTTGTTGAATACCTGTAGAAATGAGATATAAGTAAGATAGTTTGTAGTGTTTTTTGACTACATCTATTACATCGACATCCCGTTGATTACATACTTGATTACATTACACCGATTTCCTTGTCAACTACACCGATTACTTCGAGTACATGTACAAGAATTTAAACGCTGTTGGACCCAAGTAAAGTTTGCATTATTCTCTGCTGCGTTTCAGTTAGTTTCTTTGATTCCGGTCCTAAGAGTTCAGTGTGTCGGCTCTTACCCCCGAGCGAGTTCCCCTTTGAGTTTAGTTTCTCCAGTTTTATCGTGAGTTCAAACTCCGAGTTTCCAGTTTAGCCCTAAAAAGTCATTCAAAAGTGGAAAAACCTTCAGTCACACTGGTAACCATGAAGTAAAACGAGGGACTACTCGAAGCACTACACAGCTGGCAGCAAGTTGCTTTCCTTGCCTCGTCCTCGGCTTGGGCCCCTTGTTCATTATTTTGTATGTTGTGAGTATGGTAGCACCCCAAAATGATCTGACAAAGCGCTATACAAGGGCTTGTCCAGTAGGCTTGTCTGAGCTCGGACTACAATGTAGGCACGCGTTCCATAAAGTATTCTGTATTTCTTTTGCGCGTTAACAAGCATAACACAGTAATTTTTACTTAGTTTTCACCTGGTGGTACTAACATTCTGCACAATCAAGGGTTGTATTTATGGACAATTACTTCCTTGCTATGCAGGTCTATGGGGCCTAATTAACAACGCTGGAATTGCCAAGGTTGGACCAATCGAATGGCAAACCTTGGATGACTATCGACAGGTAGCAGATGTTAACTTGTGGGGACTTATTGACGTCACGAAGGTTTTCTTACCACTTGTCAAGAAACAGCGAGGACGCATCATAAATATTTCCAGTATTGGAGGTAAATTTGTTTTCACTGCTTCAACATATAAATTTTTTTAGCCTAGGAGAAACATAATTGCTCTTATTTGCTTCAAATTGAGAGGGAAAGTAGTACTTTGCAATCTCGGCAGCTTTTACTTTGTCTCGCATGCATCAGATGCCAACCTGGGAACCTCGATAATCTACAAGCCCCATTTGAATATATTCATAGTTACCTCATCTTTTTTTTCTTTGCTAGCCGGCTTGCAGGGTCAAAAATTTGAGATACTTTAAGACACAATAAAAATCTTTGCAGTCAGGTTTTGTTAAAACATTTCACTTTCCACTTTTATTTTGCGCGCGATGCACTTCTAAAAATTTGGCCACACCCGGTAAAGTTCAGACGGCGTACTTCACATGAACTTTCATATTCACTGAAAGTGATTCCGCTCATGTGAAGTGCAGGGTCGACCTGAACCAGGCCTAATAGAGTACACCTTCTTGATTTTTCTTCTTTTTATTGTAGGTCGAGCGTCACTGCCACACGCCTCCGCGTATTCGATCTCCAAATTTGGAGTAGAAGCATTCTCAGATGCTCTCCGCCGTGAACTAAGCCCGTCTGGTTTGAAAGTCAGTGTGATAGAGCCAGGATTTTTTCGGACAAACATTACAAGTAAAGACAACTTGCGAGAGCAGTGGAATACACTCTGGAACGAGCTAGACGGTAGCTTAAAAGAGGAATATGGTGGTAAATATTTTCAAACAAGTAAGTAAAGACAAATTAGCGGCCATTTCCCTGCTATCGCCGATGTGCATCACTGAATTATTTTGAACTGATACACCAATCTAGTGCAATGGATACATACTGCTTGGGTCAGTTTAGTATTTAATTTCCTCTTTAAATAGAACTTAATGAACATTTTTCCATGACTTACCAGAACACTTACTGTTTGACATACTTGACTCAGTTGGTGCGGAGAATCAGAATTAGACTGTCTTAGGGACGGACCATTAGAAAAGTTATGGGGGAGTAGGGGAATTTTCGAGCCGCAGGAACTTTTTTGCGTAATCAAATTCCTTGTATGAATTTTTTTTAGGCCATAGCATGAAAATTTTGTAAGATTCATTGGCGTGCAAAATATTTTTTCATTTAATTTTCCCTTGCGCAAATATATTTTTTGTACTTCGCCTCCCCTTCCGCCCCCATAAGTTTTCTAATGGTCCATTCCTTAGGAGACCCTGTTGATTGTGAAGGAGCGATAAATTAAGGGACGGACGTGAACAAACGATAATAAAAAGGAGGGTTCCCTGTCTGTTCAGTAGCTCGTCTCAGCTCACTCGGCTGCTAGTTCCGCCGGCTTGGCCACTAAACTTTCCGAATAGGAACTGCTGCTACCAGTCTACAGTCTATATTTCATGTTAAGACACACCCCAAACATATATTTTAATATTATTATACACTTCGAGGTTGGTGACCGATAATAGCCAAAGAAAGAGTTTTTATTTGTATTTGATGACTAGCTTTTCATTCAAAGGAGAGAAGCCAGAAAATAATAGGCTCCTGACAAGGACAATTACTAAGTTCATGCAAACAAAAGAAACAGATACTTCCCTCGAGGATAAAACCAATGCGTTCATAACTGAGTTGGCTGGACTTCATTATCAATTATACCTTGTCGCTCTTTGCTTCTTAGGTGTAAAGAACATGTTGAAAGGCATGGTAGACACTTGTGCTTCGCCGCACATCTATAAGGTAGTGGACTCCATTGTTCATGCTCTGACGTCACCATATCCTAAGTCTCATTACGTAGTTGGCTGGGATGCAAAGTTGCTATGGATCTGGGTGTCCAGGCTCCCGGCCGCCATTGGGGACGCAATCTTGAATTTATTGGGAGAAAAGGCTGAACCTAGTAAATGCGCACGCGCAAATATGCCAGGTGACCAAACTCCACAAAAAATAAATGAAAACAACAATGCAATGAATGGATCTGTTCTTCATAATTAAGAAGTAAAGCATATCTTCCACGAGTGTTTCTTTTCTTCATCTTATTATGATAACAATGATAATAATACTTTTTTAAACTTAAGGCTCAACTAATTTTTGGCCAAGAAATCTTTGCACGTCATATGTATATTTTGAAACCAGAGTAAAACCTCAGTTTTACTGTCAAACTCAGAAAGCCGTGAACACCTGAAATATTTCAGGAAAAGGAAGAACAAAGAGGATTATTTATTTCAATATGTTGTAACCTTACTTCAAGTCTACATCCTACAATCGTTCGTAAAAGGTGTTCAGTAGTCTAGAAATCATTCATTGATTTTGAAAGTCGACAAGACTTTGCATGGGAACTCGAAGAGTTTAGGGAAAATGTTAATCCGTAGGTCGTGTAGCTCTTTTTCTAGAAATTTCCATCTTGAAAGTAAAGTATATGACGAAATTTCCAGCCTCAAGAGAGAAGATTGGATAAAACGCTTTTGAGCTGATTGGATGTTTTTGCACTGGAGGACGTCTTATCCGTGTCGTATGAATACGGGAAATACTAGTGCAGACGCTTTATTAATCGTCTGAAGTTAATTTCGTCTGATCGACGCACTTGTTAAACGGAGGTACTCGTCTTCGTAATCTTTTAAGCCGTTAGGATAAGGACGACAGTAGATGCAGGTAACTTTGCGCTTAACAATCAGAAGGCTTGTCTAGCCATTGAATATTAGTTACCATTCCATCAGATGATCGTTACTTATGCCGTTTTCTTGTGTGTGTTTTCCCAACTATGACTTTTGTTTAATTAAGAGGCGTTGATCATTTGACTAAGTTATTCGCCGTGCTGCTTTTTTTGAGTTTATCATGGACGAAAACTTTTAACAATATCATGGTCCACAATTAATTGATAGCACACAATCATGAATTGATAACATCATCCCCGACGCAGTTCTCCCTTTCGTAAACTGTCACTGCCATGTTTAAGACGCTTAGAAAATTTTTGACCCTTTATTCACTTTTTCTATGAAAAAGAAAGAAAATCGCAACCCAGGGTCAAATCTAGACCTCGAACCCAGACCTTTTGTATCCTAATCTCTTTTGCTTTCCACAACACTACAACACCGACCCGCCAAATTTCCGAACAATTTAAGTACATACACTAGCAAACTGTCCTTCGTAACTTTTAACGAAATTCAACTTGGGCTTCCACGTCGCTCTTTCCAACACAATTCAATAACGTATTACTTGCCTCATTGTAACTTAATCCAGGGAATATATTACATCTAGGCCCTTGGCTTGGTTACCAACGGTGGCATCGACCGCTCCGTTTACGAAAGGGAAATAGGCAACTCCGACCGTGTAGGAGTTAGTTGATAGACTTTATAATTGACGCCCTTTTTAAAGTGGGGAAATTTTTTATTTTTAGTAAGTTTTTTTACCTTCGGCGGATATTTTGTCTTATGTATATTTTGTGCCAATTTGCTATATTAATTATTACATTTTATAAATTAATATTTTAAACTATGTAAAAAGCCCAGTCCTGGCTTATCAGAAAAGAAAAATATATTTTCTTGTGAAAGTGAGTGACTGTATAAGTTTTTTCCTTAAAGGGGAATAAATGTAATCCACAATTGGATGTATCACAGTTAGTTTATTTTTAATTAGTTTTTTGCTTATTAAGAAGTTAAAAAAGCATTAAAAATCTACTAATTGTTATACATTTGTCGTCCTTGTTTCAGCTGTTGGTCTAGTATGCCTTATTAAATCTTAAATCGTCATAATGGCGGTCGAACAAGTTAAACTATGTTACACCTTGCCTAGAGCATTTGCGGCGTCTTCGCCTTCTAGGTCAATGCATTTCGGTGACGTATCCGAAACTAGCTTGGACCACGTGACCCGAAATGTATCGGCCTTGCGCTATCAAGAGGCCTAAGATACAGGCAATGTTACACCGGTGCCACACCAGGCACGGTGCCCGAGGACATAACTGGCTAGGCAGTATTGTGTACACACCTTTTTTAAGCACCTGCGCCAGAGTTCGGCGGAGGTGCTCGATGGCGAATACAGTTATAGTCGGGCACCGATTCTTTGTTTGCTAGCCATAACTCTCTGCTTCGCTCGCGTTTCATAATAGCCTCGAAAGGAACTAGCCCGAACTCTCGGAGGAGTCTGCGATTCGAGGAGACGGCTGAAATTCAGGCGAGGACGGAGCGAAGTAGAGCAAATGTGTACTCCATAACAGACATACCCACTAACTCCACAACATGAAATTGACCACTACAGAAAATACCATAACATACCATAACACTCTTTGTTGGTCACTCCAAAATTTTGCATAAGCATTGTCTTCAGGTTCTCTTGGGAGTTAAAATGGCCCCAAGAGAAACTGAAAACATTTTGGAATGATCAACTAAGAGTATTATGGTATGTTATGGTATTTTCTGTAGTTGTCAATAGGCCACTTGCACTAAGAGGTCACGTGACCAATGCTTCCTTTAAACAATGAGTTGGAATCTTACTGATGCCGAAAATTGTTAGAGCACACAAAAATTATCTTACACCCGAAATTTGAGAGGAAACGCATTTAAGGGAGATATTTTATGGCAGTCTGATTTTTCAGGGAAGTAGTATGATTTGTATTGGCCGCCATGTTGGAGGGCATGCTTTTGCCCTCCAACATGGCGGCCAAAACTACTTCTTACTTATATCTTGTTCAACGTTTCTTAGTTACGCTCAGATGTACTGTAAACGTTATCACATCATCTTTTCAACATTTTCCTTGAAGTTTAAGTGGAAAATTTGTGTTCAGAGAGAGGTAATTCATAATTTTAAAAATCACATTTTGGTCACGTGACCATTTACGATCTTATTCATTTAAAGAAAATGGTGCGGGTTTGAAAAACCAAATCACCATTATTTTGTTTAAGATATGACCCACTAATCGTTTTTCGAAGGCAAAATCATATAACTTTTATTTTCATAAAGGCGATGTCACATTCCTCTTAGTGCAAATGGCCTATAGCATAAGGTTTGGGCCATGAAAATTTGGTCTGTATAGCATAATTATGATAGCACCCATTCTGGACTATGATATTGCAAATATGATATGATTACCAATGTGCCTGGTGTACACACATCACTTAAACTCTCACTCATGCACTTTGAACAATTTTCAGTCATCGTATAAGTGAAGAGAGCTGACCGTGAACTGGAGACTTCAAAAGGTGGTCTTTGACAGTAAAAACGGGGTGGCCAATAGGTGGTGTTCTACCGTTATTCTTCTACACGAGAAATTTCTGCAATTTGATTGGCTTAGAGCAGTGGCATTTCAGCTTAATTTGAAATACCCTCATGTGAAACTTACAAACCTTTTGTGGGTAGTTGTATAAACAAATAATACCCTGATTTGTACGTGATATTTGGCATAAATACCACTTGTGATGTTTCAAAATTGTCTCAAATTAAAATATCATTTGTGGTATTTATGCCCATTATCACTACAAATCATGCTATTACCTATACAAATATAATTAATCAGGGCTCGGCTCAGCGAGAAAGTGAATGCAGCTTTTGAAAAGAGAACACTTAAAGCAAGAGCCACCTTGCGGACGCCTCGAAAGTAAATTATTTGGAATAGCAGTTCGCAAGGGCCGTACTGTCCGCTCTGGTATAGTAGTTGCGCTTAAAGCGTTAGTTCCAATTAAAGATTTACAAACACTGATCTGTATACCTGAAGAGGGCTGGTCTGGTCAGCAGAAATATCGCTTAAGAAAGTTTTCAATACACGTTGTTATCAGCTTTTTCAGCCTTTGGACTTCTCGTTTAATTTGTCCTCCCCCTTACCCCTCTTTCATTTTTTGGCTCTCATTTCATTTCTCGTGCGGCCAAGACCGAAAATCTCTCTCCGCTCCCGAAACCAAAAGGAAACGCTTGCTACGCTGGCTAATTAGAACATAGCACGTCATTTCAATCATCACCGAAAATAAACCACATGTTCATCACAAGACTCTCTGCATACATAAAAGTTTACAACACCCGATCAGTTAGCCTTTGCTAATTAAGATGGCTCGATATAGTTTTTTAGGGTCAATACCTCCCAAGTTTGAGCTTAAACTCCTATTTCTCTCAATACAAAGTCTTCATCACTAAGACGAGTGGGTAATGCCTCATCCCCTTCATCTACTTCATATTCATCATGATCATCCTCCTCTTCCACACTGAGGGAGCTCTGTTTGTTTGTTTATGTGCTCTCGGCAAATGCCTTTGAGAAGGGATTGTTCACCAGTGAATCACAGCACATTACCAAACAATATCTATGCAGTGTCTATGCTTCACCTTAAATGAAAATCATGATCATGATGATGAAAGTGATTGTATCAATGCTGATGACATAAATGATGATGATCAAGATGCTCACAGCAGCATTGATGGTGATGCTGAAGACAGTGATGAACAGGATAGCCAAAACTCTAATAACATCAATAACAACATTCTTCATAATTTCAATAAGACTCTATAGCATTGTTATAAATAAAAAACAGACTCTTCTTTTCATTTATATTATTTAGTTACATTCTTGTAATAGTATTTCAGAGTTTACATCCATAATGTTCCATTGTTCTTCTTTTGTTTTCTTTTTTTTTTACCAAATAAAGTGAGTGAGCATTTTAATCACATTTAATGGTAGAAATGTTGAGTGAAAATTGAAAGAAACGTTTAGCTTATAAATCAGAACGTAAAGTAACAAAACGTTGCCGTTTACCTTTTGAGAAGTAAAGCTATTTCACGTTAGATTTGTGACAAACAACATCAACCTCCACTATCGATCCACTAGTAATTAAACTATATGTACAACACGTCAATGGAAAAATCAAAATTCAATGACATTGTTTTTTCCCGACTTTTTAAGGGCTCAAAACATGGTTCGAGTTATCGAGGGTAAAATTACATAGAAATGATCTGAGGAGAAACAAAAATTACTTCGAGTTAGCGGGAGGTTCGAGTTATCGAGGGTTCGAGTTACTGAGGGTAAAATTACTGTAAATGTATTACGCAAATCCAGGGGAAATCGATTTTGGTTCGAGTTATCGAGAGTCAATTGTAGTTTCATGTTGTAACTAGAATCCAGTCTAGCGCAGCGCGATAATCCGGAAATTTTAGGCAAATGGAAAACGAGACGTACTGTTCTTACCGATCGAAAATTCCCAACCGAAATTTCCGGAATTTTTTATATATATGCTAAACAACCTACATTTCGAGAAAGTTGGTTGTGGGCCAATAAGCAGCTCGTAAAAAACAGTAAATTACTCGAGGCACAACAACACGTGACCTCAAGTCAAAATTATAACTAACGCCGAGTTTACATTTTTCGCCTTCGTCACACTCTTTAACGGACCTCTCAGGAATCACGGGCTTTCCTCAGCGGGTTCAAAAGGTCACGTGTGTAGGTTGTGATTAGTTGATTTCGATCCATACTGTTTATGTCGTTTCGTGGTAGTTATGATTGACAAATAACTTTCTCGGAATGTATTGTTATTTTCCTGTAATCCGATTGGTCAACTTTGTCTAGGTTAAGGGTTATAGTAGTCGCACCGTAGAATTGATTAACTAATATTGTCCTATTTGTTTTCATGAAGCGTGGACTTCCTTAGGGCTATATTGCCGATCCCAGCCCCCAGAGAGAATATTGACCAATGATTATCCAGATCAGATCATGGTCGCCTTTCCGGTATTTCCTTTTATGGCAGTAATTATAACATCATGATTCATTGAAGCTTGTATAGCTTAATTGACTCTGATTTTATAGAACAGTCAAAGTACTCACCGTGAGTTACGCCTTATCCTAATGTATCATAGAAAGGATTATTACGCTGAAGAGATGGGCTTAACTCCCTTGTCTAAGGAAGGGGGTTACTTCAAGCAAACCTTTCGATCACCTCAAACAATTTCTACACCAGATCGAGAGGGTGGGGAGCGGAATTTATTCACCACAATTTACTACATGATTTCACCAGAACTGGGTGGCAAAAACTATCTACACAGAAACAAGAGCGACAACGTGCATTACTTTCACGACGGATGGCCAGCAAAGTACATCCTTGTTTCGCCAAAAGGTCATGTTGAGGAATATGTATTGGGTCGCAATACTTCAAAAGGGCACGTACCACAGCTTCGGGTCCCCGGTGGGTTTCTAAAGGCTGGTAAAATCTTAGAGGAAGAAGAATCAGCCACGTTTCCAGGTGAAACACCGTTTACTTTAATTTCAGAGCAAGTTTCTCCTGGCTTTGACTACAGGGATCGACACGTCCCTACCCCCTCAGAAGTCAAAACTGTGTTCCCTGAATTGTGGCATAAATTAGAAGAGTATATTGCACCGGAGTGACTGCCGAATGACTCGTCTCATGTAGACTTGGTTTCATGGTGCGCAGTGAAAATAGTTTATGTCGCTCAGTAGTTGAACGGTTATCAAAGCGCAGTTAAAAATCAAAGTGGCTGTGACCCACAAAACTCGGACAAAAAAATCTATGTATTTTCCTTTAATTCCTGATATTTCACACGATCTTTTGAGATCATGACACTAGTCGTTCTGTTCTTTTCTTCGAAATAATTTTTTGACGTCATAGATTACGTTTCATTTTTTACATGTCGCAGATCATGTCGTGGTCTAAATTACAGTCACATTCCACAAGTCAAAAATTCAGAAGTACAGGTCATTGCTCCATCGATAAATTACCAAACCAAACATATTCCCCTCGATCCAATAGGGCTTCTGAGGAGACACTTTTAGACTAATGTTGTTCATTTATCTGTATGATCATGGTGACCTGTCCTCTGACCTGTGGAAAAGTGACCCGTATTTTAGACCCGCTGAATAAAAGGAGATTTGTATAAAATCAACACTTGTGAATCGAATTCATAAGCTTACATGTGTTTTATCAGAATCACTGAAAATTTAGTATTGTTTCTGAACGATGCTGTAGTGAAATTGTTCTCTAGCAAGAAAACTTCGGTTGACGAGTACGCTCTTGTATATTTTGGAAAACTGCCCTGAAAAATGGGTGAATACAGTGTAAAGTAGACCAGCCTGAGATCATACCCTCTCCCTTATAATCGCTTTATGTCTCTGCGTTATTTTTTTCCCTCTCACCTCGTGCGCTTTTAAAAAAAAAATAAGAACCCTCTTAAAAGCGTGAAGTTTCGCTTCCTTGGAGATTAGATAAGAAACAAGACGCTCTAAAAACGTCGATTCAACCATGCTTGGAGATATGATAAGAAATGATGAGGCAGTTAATTCCTAAGGAGCCTCTGTCCGGGCGGCGTGTAAGCCATAAGGACTATCTGCGGAGGGAGAAAAATGCTAGCTAGCCAGGTTACACAGTAACCATGGACTGCCTTTGGTACACACAATAGTCAGAAACTTCGCATGCCTTACGTTTTAAAACTGGAAGAATATTATAATGTTACAGTTGGGTAACTGAATTTGCGCCCATTCGCTAACTATTAATTATTATGTGGGTAAACCCCAATAAAAACTATGAGTTCGCTTAAACGTGATTTTCTTATGAAGTTAAATTTTAGCAATGAATAGAAACACCACACCGTGGGCGCCCTTCTTCTGCTTCTGTTGTGACATTTCCTTCTCATGCCTTGTGTTCTATTGTTAGCCGTCGAAGTCAAAAGAATACTAAGCTGCCAAAACTAATACTAAAAAATGCAAGACCACATGCAATAATTATAAATCTAAAGTGAAAACAGGGGCACCCAACGGCAATTTTCGGGAAAATATCTGTTCGGAAGACGATTTGAGAACTAGAATTTTCGGAACATTTGTTGTAAAATTTCTTGCTTGCCTGCCTCTCCTAGGATTTTCGAACATCTACAAAATGGTATAATTACCCATTTTAAACGGATATTTATCCTAAAAAAGGCCACCTAGAATTTTCGGGAGCCTTTTCCCGGCTGAAATTTTCGAAAAGGTAAGTTTTGATCCCTATAATTTTCGGATCACTAGACTTTCAGCTAGGAAATCCGAACAGATGAAAAGTTTTTAGGGGATAAAAATATGCCTATATCTACCGTTTAAATACTAAAATACGTTCAACAATGCTATGTTAAGTGGTTTTGAACTATATCCTCGTTGGGTGCCCCTGGTGAAAATTGATGTCTAGGTAATTATACCGTAATTTCAAGGAGTCTTCCACAATGAAAGGCAATATGAAGCAAAGAGGCTAGACTTCGCAAATCTATGACAACGAGGAAACATCAACGAAGACGTCAGTATGAAAAATAAAAACACATTTCTCAAACTACTACAAAAATAAAAATACTATTCCAATTTGCAGACTAGTAGATTCTACTGGAAATGAAGTCCTGTAAGCAGAGTGTGTGACTAAAGTACAAAGCTACCGGTAACACGTCCGTGACACATGCGTGATGAATAGTTGAAGTTAAGTCATTGATACTCAAGCCTCATGTAAGGGAATCCAAGAAGTCTTCGATTCCGGATTCCATAGACTGCTTGCAGTCCTCCTTTTCTCTTAAAATCCGTCCAGTTATTATCTCATCCAGCGCGATTGCAACCCACGATGTTATGTTTCGCGTGCAGTAACTTTTCAAAGAAAAATAAGAGACTGCTCGCAGTCTAGGATTCCACGCCGTGGATTCCTGATTCCAGGCACTTGATTCCAGTCTTTTTTTAGTGGAACCTTCGTATTCTGAATTCAATCCCTAGTATGATTCCGGATTCCTTCAGCTGTATTCCGGATTCCAAAGCCAAGGATTACGGATTCCACAAGCAAAATTTACCCGTGTTCCTTATAACGGATTCCGGAATCCCTTCAATGGGACGATTAACAACTGCGAAAATCTATCAATTAAATACATACAATAAAGTGAAACGTGGCTTCCTACAGGGAACAGAATTTACTTGGTTTTAGTTTTTCATGCCTTTTTTAATCGACGGACCAGTAGTCTAAATCGTTTTCGGCGAAACGTGATCGATCAACATACATATAGCGCGCCATTTCAATCGTCCCCGAAAATAAACTGGATGCTCATCACAAGACTTATTTGCATACAACATACTTAGCCTCAGCTTCGTTTTTGCTCATCTAAGATTCTTGTTTATTTTCAACCACTGAAGTATTCACTTGTTCCAAAGTAATTCACTCGTTCCAGAAAAGCTCTATATTAATCTCCCCTACATAACTTTCATCACGCCGAGATACTTATCCCCAGTTTCCACGGTGTTCGCTAGGAACGCCGGGGACCGTCCCAGGGACCATATTTAGGGCCCACACACGAAAAAAAAAGAAAGAGAAGTGCTTTCATCTTGATCTAAGTCTCGCTTAAAAGAGGATGGCCTTAAAGTTAAGAACGAGGTATGTAACAAAATTCATCAGGGGGCCATAATTCATCAGGTTATCCATAATAATTTTCTGTAGATACAGGCATGGCATTACAGTGCGACCGGAAAAACCGTGAACTCTTGAAATAATTCAGGAATGTTTATTGTGTTACGACCAATCACAGCAAAGATCAGGAGATGCTAGAAGGCCACAAGACCACAAACTAATCAACTTTCTTTCTTGCGGTTTAGTTATCTCACACTTTCTTGCAACACAATAACATTCCAGAAATATTTCTGGTTTCACGGTTTTCCCGGTTTGACTGCAAAACTAGAAACATTTGGTCCAACTTTTTTAAAGTTTTAATAACTTTAACAAGTCACTAAATTTAATATGGTACTAAGGGACGTAACCTTTTGGTGTGGTTTCACATTCCTAGTAACAGTTTTGTTCATTTCTCCATGTCCATTTAGCTACTCCTCGGTTCAGCAAAGCAGTCGTATTTTGTACTTGTAACAACGACATGGGAGAGCGAAGGAACCAAGGAAATGCAAGCGACCTCTCCACCTGGGCTTATAGACGCGAGCTAAACGGATCACTTCGCCAAACGCGCGAGCTAAGCCGGGAAACAGCGTCCANTCCTCCTCTCTTAGAAAAAAAAAAACGCCACTTCTCCGATTTTTTTTCTGAGGAGAAGGGGCGTACACAGGCTACAAAACCGACCATTGCGTGGCACAAAATCCTAGGAAATCTTTGAACTTAAGGTGGCTCCGTAATTAATACAAGAGCATTTAACTGTGGCAAATTTTCCGTCATAACTTTTTCGATTTTAACGCGATGGCTGCGAAACTTTGCAAAAAACAACAGATATCATTTGGCAATAATACGAAATATTCCAATTTCATTGATGGTTAATATTTCTTGAGAAATTAGCGCTTAAAAGGACCCTACTGTTCAAAGAAAATCGCCTCTAGTAAAAAATGTTGCTGATATTTTTTACTGAAATTTCTGCTATCGGCTTCAGTTGATATAATAAATATGCCAGAGGAATTTCAGAAAAATCGTTGGAGCAGAAGTCCGTAACTAAAAGTCGCTCAAAATTCAGCTGTGAAATTGTTTTGGAATTTCAAAAATAAATTACTATCAGGAAGAAGGAGACACCAGTTTCAATTTTCGGGGCAAGTAAATTCAGTGTTTCCTAATTCTGAAAACAGAAGCCGATTGCCTATCGTGCTATTCTTTAAAAGGTACTTTTCAGTTTTAAAAGCACTATAAATTGCTCCAAACTTTGCTCTGACGTCGAATGACTTGTTCCTCGACATTTTTAAAATATCCCTTGGCAGTCCCGGTTCAAACTCCTGCTACATACATTTTGATGTATTACAATGCATCCTCAACGGCTTTTCCTGCTGTACGTTGTTTCCAATTCAGGAAAAAGGTATTGGGATTGTAAGCTACCTTGTATCGAAGCTCAGATAGAACTGTCGAGCACCTTTGTTTATGACCAGAAAATGAGCACGAGCGGCAGCTCTGCGAGGAATTCGCACCTCAGCCAGGGGGGACGAATGGCAATGATGCCCATGTCTGTGAACCGATCTGTATAAACATGTATTGCAGAGCAAAACATAATAATCAAGAAAAAAATACCCATTCATTGAAGGAAGGAGTGACAAAAATTTTAGAGTTGTAAATTTATTCACGGGTAGTATTTTTGCGATAATTTTACTTTACACTGTGATGTTATTCGGTTCACAGGCATGGTCATCATTGTCGTTCGTCCCCCCTGGGTGAGGTGCGAATTCCTCGCAGAACTGCCGCTCGTGCTCATTTTGTAGTCATAAACAAAGGTGCTGGACAGTTCTTTCTGAGCTCTGATACGAGGTAGCGTTTAATCTCAATACTTTTTTCCTGAGTTGGAAGCAACGAACAGCAGTAAAAGTCGTTGAAAATGCATTGCAATAAATCAAAATGTATGCAGCGGGAGTTTGAGCCAAAACTGCCAAGGGATATTATAAAAATGTCGAAGAACAAGGCA